GCAGTTTTGTAATGCAAGTCATACTTGGACAAAAGTAAAATGTGCGCAAAATCCATACACGACTGATGGTACGGTAGGCACCTTCAGTGCTTGCTTGAAGATCACCTTGTGTTAAATTTTTTTTGTATATAGCACATTTTGCAGTTTTATTTTTTCGGACATGAATTTTGAATATCTGATTTGAAACATTTGGCAGTCTTGCTAGTGGTACTTCCTGCAGAAAAGCGTCAATTATTTTCTGCCACTCAGCTTGAGTAAATTTTTTTTTATAAATCAGGGGTTCATCTTTAGTAAAACTGAAAACGTTGTGGAACACCCAAACTAGATGATGGCAGTTCTTTCTGCAAGCCTGAGAGGTACAGGAAGAAGAGTCTTTAGTCAGTGTCACATTCTCCTGGTAACCCATGGTGTTCAAAATTTTAAATTTGAATAAGTTCATTGTGCTGTTGCATTCCAAGAGATCCATTGCAACACCATCAACTTTCTTTGCAAAATATCGAAGATTCTTCTTGTTAACTCTATAGTCTTGATGAGCCATTTCAACGTTGGTTACAAGGTGTGGCTCCCCAGACAAGGAGTCAGCATGGACTGCTATGTACTGCACTGCAGAAGCACATGCATCTTCATCTGCAAAAAGTTCATTTTGTTTCTTTTCTTCACGATCAGCTGCAGTTGGACCCTCTTTTGTCTTTTGACCCAGAGCTTGACGCTTGATTTCAGCAGCTTCAAGAACTGCAGCTGAACATTTGGTGGTGACCACATCTATCAGTCTTTTCCGGTATCCTGATGCACTAATAGATTTGGCATTTGCGACTTCAGCAGAGGATGCTGCCAACGAGATCTTCTCCTCCACCACCACCACCATGATTTGAAGTTTTTCATTTTCTGTACATTGGTTGACTGGCTGTTTATTAACTTTTCTAAGGCTTTTTCTGCTTCATCAGCTTGAATGAAAGTAGGTGAATTATATGCATTCATCATCAACTTTTCAAACTGTTTTTTGTCTTTTTCAGCTTTAAAGTATTTCAAGTGTCGATGGAGGTCTTGCTTTATATGAAAAAAATCTGACACTGTCTTGTTTTTTATGGCTTCCCCTTTTGCTTTACAAAGACCACTCCACAAGGCACCACCTTGATCGCCAACATAGGCATGAGGGTCTAGGCCTCTGCCCTCAAATTCTTCTGGAGATAAGTCATGTTCACGAGCCACAGATGGCAGTACTGCATTAACAGCGGCATCGAAAATCTTAACCATGTACTCAACATTTTCTGAGTTTTCTCCTGGTTTTGGAACAAACATGTTCACCAGTTTAACGTTTCTTCTTAAAGTTGGGTAGTATGTGGTCAGTTCTATTTCTGTAAAACCTTTTGCATGGCTTTCGCAGCCATCAAGACTTACAGGCTCCTCAATTATGCAAAGAGTTATGAGTGCTCCGATACGAATCTTTTGCTGGCTTGAAAGCGTAACAGTGTTGTCAGTCACGTCCATAACCAAATAGGGATCCAAGCCTCTAGCCATAAAGTCATCTTTCAGAATGCATATAGCCTCTATTTCGGAACCACCTGGTCTTGCATTTTTGTTCACGGAGGTGTGAAGATAGCGAATGTGCCGAGCATTGCTCTACTTCATGGCAACATTCTCTAGGGACTGGGCATTGCTGCCACTTAGCAGGGCTTGCCTAACTTTTTCTAATTGAATTTGCCCAGTTGTTATTGTTGGCCTCTCTTGCCTGATGTCTGCTACTTCCTCTTTTTCAGGCTTGTCCTCCATAGCTCTTGGGGAATATGCATGGTCTGCCACATAGATGACCGTCATTTTCTTATGACAACGGTCATTTTCGATATACTTCCTTGCAGAACAATTAATCCTCAAAGCTATGTGCTTGCAGTGCACACGTGTTTGTGCGATTAAAGTCAACCTTGTTTGTAAACCTGTGAATTTTTCGGTATTGGCATTTGGGGTTCTGGCATTCCAAGGATCCACGACAAATCTGAAGGGTTCGCTGTCCACCTGTGCAGAAGCCCTTGAGTCGACAGGGTTGAGAACGGCCCCAATTGAAGTTGTCAGTCATGCTATGCAGGGGGTCCTTCTCATTGTATTCAACCTCATACTTGATAGGGCCATTGGAGATTGGGGGTACTTTAGCCACCTGCACAGCCTCCATATTGTCCACATTTTCTTGGTTAAGGTAAGATCTGTTACTCCTTTGTACAATATCACCATCATCCCTAGAAGGACAAAATTGCAAAGTTACTGACCTGCTGACAGAAGCACGTCGTCACCATTGTGCATCAAGTATGCAACTCAAAGTTTCCTGAACAAAATTTTGGGCGATTTTTTTCCTGGGATACAATATGGTGGTCTACTCGAAGCAAAGGGGGTGAAAATTCTTTGACTTTTGTTAGACCAGTGTAGGAATGGGTAAGGCAGGCTGTTAACTACAAAAAGGGGTAGGTGAAGAACTGAGACAGTGCCTCTTCCCCACTTCCAAGAGGTTTATTGATTCCCTATTTTGTCTGGCAGGTTAGTATCTCTTCCGTAAAGCATTTAGTTTTGTTTTTTTGTCTAGTTATTTGAATTAAAATATTTCATATTGTGATTTTTTCATATTTATAATTAATTTGCTCCTTGTAATGCACAAGTGAGCATATTCAACTGGAACTTGTACAATATGAATATTAAAGTATTGTGATTAATTGTATCACAGTACCACTAAAAAGTGTGAGAGTCCCCAGTCAACTTACTCGTCTTCACTAAACTGCAAGTGTTTGCTCCACTTGCTCTTATTGCCTGCCACCCTCTTTGCTTTCTTTATTGCTGTGCTATCACTGGAACTAAGGCCACTCATTGATTTTATAAGGTCTTCCACTGATGATTCTCTCTAGAAATAAAAGTTTACATTGCACATTACACGAAAAATACAAGTGCAGGCTGATATTCAAACAACAATTTTAAGTTATAATTTCTTTGTTCTTCTCACAAGTATATGCTCAGACTAGCAAAACTAAATTAGCCTGGGACTGGGCTCTTACGTGGAGAATATGCGAAAAAAAAATTTCGGTGAACGAAGGGAACCACATTTTCCTCCCCAGTCCCCCACTAGACTCACTTTGCTCACTTTTTTTCACAATTTCCCACCAAGGAGCCTGGATTCAGGCTTAATTTAATGAAAGATAACTCCCTTTGAAAAAAGGTTATAGAGGTAGATTTCAAGACAGACAGATGCACTTAAAAGGTAACTTAATGCATGCACATGAATTGAGCAGCAAAAAATGGTGATAAGAGCAAATGAGGAAGTGTGTAGACTGCATGTTGAGTATGCCATAGCTCAGATTTTCATCCATATATTCTTCCTTGCATTTTCCGGTTATTGCTTAAGATTCCACTATGTGCCTTGAACAGTTGTTTTCTGTTCAAGTCAGTGCCAGAAACCTAGATTTTTTCGTCTCAGGATTTTTTACAGAGCTATAAAATCCAAAGCAGATATTAATCCAAATGTAGCATAAAATAATACTTATGTAATCTATACTTATGAAAAGATTTTAAAAAATGTTTTTTACCCCAGCTATTCGTTTGTTGGATTGTTTGCGTTTTCTTCGCTTCCTCTTGTTCATAGTTTGAACATCACTCCAATCTGAGCTGTATACAGTCCTGAGATCCCTTCAACAAATTTAAACCAAAAATTAATAACAGCCATTGACTGGATCAGTGGGCAGACAGAAGACTGCAGTAAAACTGTCGGCCTCAATTTTATGTAACCTCAGATAGTTTAATAGTTTGCAAGCAAAATTTTGCCAATTGAATCTTATATCTTTTGGAGACAGAATTATATGCTTTATTGATAAGTCTTGCTTGATGAAGATGGTGTGATGTTTATTCGCATTACACTACATAACAGCTGGCCCCAGATAACCTGACATGAAGAAGAAGTGCTATTCACTATTAAAGTAGAAAAGAGTATTTTAGGAGCATGTACTTGCAACTTACAGTTTCCATACGTTCAGAGGACTTGACTTCATCATCCGAGCTAAGGATGATTACAGAGACTTCAGGCTTCAAATAAAAGCAGAATAGTGGAATATATAT